GCGTGTGTGCGTGTGCACACATATGTACATGTATGTAAAATCTTAGCTGAAAATTGAAGAAACTAAACACAGAAAAGTGCATATATGTCTGTTTCAGAATTTCTTTTGCCAGGTAATGCAGAATGAATTCCATTTTTATAATTAAGCAGAAAACAGCTTTATCTGAAGAATAAAACAAACACCATGTAAATGGTGGTATACGGAAGGATACAAATGCGAAGATCAATAATATTACTCTCAAGACTGCTAAGGGCTAGTGGGGTTTTTTCAAAAAAAATTTTTTTAAAAGAAAACTAAACTGTCTTCTGTTCCTTTGTGAGAATATTTAGAGTACTCACTGGAGCCAAAAGACCATTTATGAATGAGCTCTGCCTTTCTTTGGCTTGCTGTAGCCCATTGTGTATATTTCAAAACATGAATATATTGCTAGAGAAGAAAATCTGTAGTTATTGCAATTTGCATTTCACACAGTTTTCTTTTATGTGGGGATTTGTTTTGAGAAAATATGTATCTTTAACTTTGTCATTTGTGTCTCTCCATAGGAGACTTAGTGTGGTACTGTCTTAATCCTACTTCTCTGTTGAAGATATTTTATGTAGTTCACGATGCTAGTGAGGTTTTTGCTACAATGACAAAATACCTGAGAAAATCACCTTAGGAGAGGAAAGATTTATTTTGACTCATGGTTTTAGGGACTCATTCCATGGTCATTTGGACTTGTTGTTTCTAAAGCTGCTTTGGGTATCAGAACATCATGGCAGGGTGTTCATGAGTGGAGAATCCTATGGCAGCCAGGAAGCTGAAAGAGGGGTGTGGCCGGGAAAAGGGCAGCTCCCTGGTGACCTGTGTCTTCCATCTAGGCCCCAGCTCTAAAGTTGCCACCACTTTTCATCACCCTGGTAAGCTATGAATCCATCTGTGGAATGATCCACTGCTCTAGTTAGAGTTGTTGGGATTCAGTCCCCTTTTGAAGGCCCCACCTCTGAGGACTGCATTTAGCTTGAATTGTCATCTAGTATCCTTCAAGGGGAAAGCCCTAAGTTAATGAACACTGTAGTTAATGTTCTGTTTCCTAACTAGATGGTATATCACCTCACGACCAATTTATTGCCCTCCTGCCACAGGACAGTATGATATGAACTGTTTAAACAATAGGAGGGTGCTGTTTCTGGGGGTTATGTGAAGATGCGAAAAGGAAAGGGAAAGAAATGAAAATCATTTGCTTGACTAGAGTGAGTGAGAGCAGTTCTGTGCAGTCTGAAGGAGCAGTGCCACCTCCTGCACAAAAGCTTTATTTTAGGCATCAGAATTCAACAGAAATGGATTTCTGCAGAACCAAGTACAAAACAGTTGTTTTGCAATCTGCTATTCTTTGACATCCACTTCGGTGTGTCAATTTCCTGGAATTTTCTACTAGTATTTTCCTTTGTGTATGTATTAATCTTCCATTTCATATTAACAGAAACAATTAGAGGCCAAGATAGGCAGAGAGAGAGAGAGAGAGAGAGAGAGAGAGAGAGAGAGAGAGAGAGAGGAAAAAATATATTGAAATATGCGATATTTTTTCTCGTGTCTATTGATGCTACTTACATGAAAATAAATGATGTAATTCTATTTTCCATTTCATGTGTACTAGTGACAGAAGAATTAATACTTAGTGTTTATTTATATTAAAACACTTCATATTTCATCATAGGCTGTATATAAGGAAATTCTTTAGTAAATGATTACGCATGTAGTAGAATTTCACTTAATAGTTCTTTTTCCCATTTTTTACTTCTATAATAACACTTAAGTTTGTAATGTTTTAAAAATAACTCCTAATATTCCTAATATACACTATGTTACATTATCACACAAGCATTTGCAGAATGTGTTTGTAAAAGCTTGTCTTTTTATTAAATTCAAATCATTCATTATGTTTTTTACCATTTTGGTTTAATTCAACTAGTCTTCACACCTCAGCATATAATAATTTAGTGACAGTAGACATGACACAACAGTGATTGTGATTTTTTTTATTGCTCCCTGTCACTTTTTCAAGATCTTAGCTAGTCATTAATGAGTCAAATCACTCATGTTGGGCAAGAACTTAAATTCACTGGTAAGGTCCAAAGTTGACCTTATCGGGATATTTGATTTAGTTCTCATCTAGTTGGGTTTGGGACAACAATTATGGAAAGAATTAAGTTTCGGAGTACAGGCCATACCATACTGCATACCTTTTAGAAATCCAGGCATATACATAACACAGATCATGGCAATTTTGATCTTGTTTTGAGGAAACCTGTTTGAATCTCAAATACTGCAAAAAACTGATTTTCTCATGTTTGTCTATATGTTTAAAAATTCTGGGGTGAGGATAAAGCTCAGTGAAATAGCGCCTGCCTGGCAAACATAGGGTCCTGAGTTTGAATCCTGGTATCTCAGTTACTCTTCTCTCATTGCTGAGACAAATACCCAACATACAAAATGAAGGAAGGAAAGGTTTCTTTAGCTCATAGTTAGTGGAGGTTTTAGTCCATACCCAGTGGGCTCCAAAGCAGAGTGGCACATGGCAGAGGGCAGCAGTTCATGGCAGCAGAAAACAGCAAGAGCAAAATGGAGGAACAGCAGCAACATGGCTAGGCAGAGCAAGTCTGTCTCCCTTAAGTTGCATTCAGGCTATCCACCCCAGGCAGGGCGTAGCACCCACAGCCATAATTCCAATGGATCATGAGTTAATCCAGACTTTAGAAGTCCACCCCATGATTGCATGAGGCTTTCGGTAGCCAACTAGTCACAAACCATAATACCTGCAATAAATAAATAAGTAAATAATTTAGTATTTATCATAACTTTACTCACTCAATTAAAATTTCCTACTTGTGTTACATACTAGGCACTATGGTAGGCTATAGGAATTCAGTTAATGATAATTAAAAAAAAATGCTGCTTCCTCAGCCAGCTGCCTACCTTACAGAGCAAAATAGTGTGTGATCAATCCTAGTAGCAAGGCTGCAGAGCAATTGGCATAAAAGGAAGGGAAATCAACCCAAACTTCAGAGAAAGAGGTGGAGCATAGGGACTATCAAGGAGTACGTCTGCAGGAGAGAGTTCCTCAATTAAGAGTTTAGAGACAAAATGTCTATCAGGAAGTAGAGAAATTGGGTTTTAGGAGATGCAATAGGATTGCTAAAGTACTGTTATGGTTTAGCTATAAAAGGTGCCCCAAACCCCATACATTCGTAAAGCAATTGGATCATGGGGTGTTCTACCTCACAGCAGATCAGGCCTCTGATAAGTTCAATGCTGACCTGATGTTGGGAGGTGGGTAGATAGAGGGGCATCACTGGGTCATGATCTAGAAGGTGTCTCCCCATCCCCACCTCCTTCCCTCTCTGTCTCCTGGCTGCCATGATGAAAACATCTTTTCCTTAGCCACTCCCTCTGCTATCCTGTTTCCTCCTTGGACACAGCTGACCTTCAACTGAAAATGTGAGCCACAAGAGATGTCACTTCATTTAAGTTCAAGAACTGGGTGTAGCATCTGAGAAATGGAAAGGAGGCCAAGACAGATCCTGAAATGAAAGAGCAGGGAAGGTTTAGGGAAACATGTAGTTTTCAATACATCTGGTACTCAAGACTGTAAATAAAGTTCTAAGAGATAAAATTGGGCACGTTGGCAGAGGTCACAGAACAGTGGGTCTTTTGTGAGCTTGTGACTCACTCTGAATGCTTTGGGGCTTTGTTGTGGTTGTTGCTGCTGTTGTTTTAGTTTGGCTTTTGTTTTCTTTCCTGTTTTGCTGTTTCCTGTTGATTTTTGTATTTTAAGAAAAGAATGAGAACTGACTAAGTGTAGTGAGATTCAAACTGATTAAACAGCGGCTAGAAGCACCATAGAGAAGGGGCTTGAGCTGAGGTGTGATTAGAGGAGGCGCGGTCGGCTAGGGAGGGTGAAAAAGTAATCTGAAGAAGAGTAACACATGAAGATGGGCCAGGCACTGATGAGTGCTTCATGGGGTGTTACAACAGGAGAGCTAATTCTATGGTCAAGTTACTGTGGAATCTATGAAAGAGCTCCAGCACACTTTCTGTTCCCAGCACAAGAAGAGTTTGATGTCACCATCCCCTAACACAAAGCAAAGCTCAGAAAATAGAAAAGGAGATGTGTTGTAACTAGAAAAGGAGAAATAGAAAAGGAGGCATAGTGCAACTGTGTCATGCACAGCCCATGTAGCAGTCTGGTGGTTGACTGACAATAGACTTGTAGAGTTCAGCGGAGTCACTGGAACTAGAGATCTTCAAATCTAATCCTTATGTTGCTGTTTTAGTTAGGGTTCACTAGGGGAAAAGAATCAATAGGAAATACATGTGTAATTAGACAAGGGGATCCAACCAGGCAGGCTTACAGATTAGCAGCAGCAGAACGCGGGGCACTCATGCAGGGCCGGCGGCTCTGCGCTTCTGTGCGCTAGAGAGAGGGTCAAGGAGTCGTTAAGCCCAAGAGGGTGGAAGCTGCAGGATAAGAGGCACCCAGGGCTTGGCTGCACTTGTCCAAGGTCCCAGACCTGGGAGCTCACGGGTGGGTCACCAGTGTGTGTCTGCTTTGGCAGGCTAGAAATACTAGAGACTTGGAGACAATGAGGACTGCAAAGAATGAACCCACTGAAGAAGTGCAGAGCTCCTGGAAGTTGGAGCACTTTCCACTCTTTTTCCCTTTTGCCCTCCTTCAGTCTCTGAGCTATTGGTAGGTGCTACCCACAGGCAGGCATGCTTTCTCACCTCAGCTTGCTAGCCCATGTGCTAATCTTTCAGTCTGCACAGAGGTGTACTTTCCTGATCTACTAGGCATCCTCTAAGCCATCCAGGGCCACATGCCTTGAATTAATGGTCACATGAATCCTTAATAGTATGTAAGGATTGTACGTAGGGAATAGGAGACTGTAAAAAGTAATAAATCGGTTCTAGACCACCAAGACCCTCACGGACCTGTCCCACTGTTCTTGCCCCCTCCCCAGAAGACTGGTACGAACAGCTGCATCCGCTCATTCTCACCCTGAAGGACTGCATGGGAGAGGTGGTGAGCCGAGCCAAGCAGTCCCTGACGTTCGTGTTGCTGCAGGAGCTTGCCTACAGCTTGCCCCAGTGCCTGATGCTGACGCTGCGGAGAGACATCGTCTTCAGCCAAGCAGTAGGTTCCAATTGTTGTTACTGGTACAAAGCAGTGCTGGATCATTAAGACTTTTTATTTTGGTGGGGATAAAGTCCTTGATTTGGCAATTTTTTTTAAAAGAGATGCTTTTCTTAAAGTTTGGGTTCTTAAGGTTTTCTATTCATAATGACAATTGCTGAATAACACATTTACCACTTCTTTCTCTTTCTGAAAAGAAAGGGCCAAGGTTCTGAAACATACATATTGTTGAAAAGGGCATGAAGTCTGGGAAGGAAGGGGTAGCATGGAGGTCTGACTGCAGCGTCAGGCAAGGGGCCGCTGCCTTGCATTGCAGGCAGCACGGTTGGACTTGGCCCGGGGGATCTGTTTGCAGCCCCTTGTCTTCACAGTCCCCCCATTGAACCCCAGTTTGCACAGCACTTTCTTATTTTGCATACATAATCATTTCTCAGAACATCAGAGCCTGCCAGGAGGTCGATGGAGTCCCCTCTTTGCTGACCTCTGTCCCCATTGTGCTGCCACACCAGCGTGTTGCAGGGCTGTGCTAAGGCAAGCCTGCCTGGTCCTCATCTAGCTCTGCCCCTCCCTGTTGGTTGAATTAATAGACAGAACACATGGAAGTGAGATCACAAGGCTGCCTTTGTAGATATTCCATTCGCAGGGAACACTTTAACCAAAATGCCCTGCTGTCTGTCACACCGTTTCATGAGGGCTCTGGTGCTGCACAGGTGCCACACATTTTGCTGTGGCCTATCCATGTGTTTCGTGATGTACATGCAGTGGTTGTGTGAACCAGATGCTCTCTTTTGTCTTCTACATGTGCAAACAATAACAATAGCACTATTCGGAATCACCGAATCACCCTTCATGGTTTCTTTTATACAAACAGTGCACATACGATTGGGAGTCCCATTCCTCAGCCTCCAGACTCCATATTTTATCCTTCTTCAGCAATGCTTTCCCAGGCCTTTGATATAGTGCCTGGCTGAGGTAAAGACTGCAATTTAGCTTTATATGTTTATATAAACAGGAACATCTTTGTTGCACATACTTGAGAAGTTTAGATTAAATTTGTAAAGTCTCATGTATTAAAATATTTAATACTACAAGTGGATCACTATGAGTCTGATCTAGTAGTGAGACCCTGAACACCCTGTAGACCCTTACCTAAAGTAAAATTTAAAAATAAAAGGGGGGGCCGGCCAAATAGCTCAGTGGATTAAAGTGCCTACAAGCGGGCACAGGGGCCAGGGGTTCAATCCCTGGGCCTGTCATGCTGGCCCCGACCCCCCAGGGTGCTCTGAGACAGCAATTGAGACTGGACATGGTGGAACATGCCTGTAACCCCAGCTCTTGGGAGGCTGTAAATAGGAGGATCACTATGAATACGATCTGGTGGTGAGGTCTTGAACACCCTGAAGACCCTCCCCTAAAATATAAAAATAAATAAATACATAAGTATTTAACCCTTGAAGCTTCCAGCCCCCAGTAGAATTCTCTGATGATTCTTTTTCAGCTGGCGGGGTTGGTGTGTGGCTTCACCATCAAGCTGCACACAAGCCTGCACGACCCCGACTTCCTGCAGCAGCTGCACACGGTGGGCCTGATGGTGCAGTTCGAGGGGCTGCTGAGCACATACAGTGAGTATTGCCTCAGTGTGGCCTGAAATCGTGGTCCTGCCCTAGGGGTATCTAACGTCATCTTCTACCTGTGAGTCGAGGTACCAGGTCTGAAAAACCAGGACAACTTCCAGTTTTCGCTTTCATTCACCTTCTTACTTCTTTTGCCTCCCTTTATGTTTTGAAAATAGAATGATGGATTATTTCAGTGTGGACTGCTGAGTAGCCATCTGGTCTCCATTACAATAAAAAAGGCACTTTGCCAGCCTAGATTCAGTGGCTGGACTTTGAAGTCTGCACCGTAAGATCTAGAACTGCAGTGTCCAACACAGTATGCTCACATGCACACGGAGCATGTGAAGTGTGTCTCGTCCCAATCAATATGTTCTAGCCACACATACCCTCCCCAGAGACTAGCAAAATTATTTTATATCATTTATTAATAGTTTATATTGATATACAGTTAAAATGGCATTTAGGGTACACTAGGTTAAGTAAAATATATTGTTAAAATTAACTTTACTTCATATTTATTTTACTCTTTTAAAAGGATCACAACCAGAAAATGTAAATTACTCATGTAGCTCCCACTCTTTTTCTGCTGGAGAGTGCTAACAGAGGGTCTTAATCATTTCTTCACAGACCCATGAGCATGGTTCAGTGGTCATCAATTCAGCTGTCTCTTTGTTTCTAGAAATCAAATATCAATTCTGTCACTAAAAAGACATCTGCATGATGTTTTGTTTCCTAAAAGAATTAAAAATCTCTTTCCAGCTGCCTGGCAGAAGTGTACGGTTTTCTTATCTAGAGGGTACATTGACTTATAGAAGGCATTAAAAAGGGTCCTAATTTTGCTGATGAAAACCTTCAACCTATGAAGAAAAGTGTGTAGAATGGATTTCCTGCATTTGGAAACTCGTTCACTAAAATACTAGAACAAATCCCAGCAAAAAGCATACTAGCTGCTGACATTTTCTTTAAATAGTGTGTTTGTACCAAGGCACCTTTTTCTTTGTTTAGGTGATGAAATTGGAATGCTAGAGGACATGGCTGTTGGCATTTCTGATTTGAAGAAAGTAGCATTTAAAATAATTGAGGCCAAATCCAATGATGTCTTGCCGGTTGTAACAGGAAGACGGTGAGTGCTGCCCGTTTCAGAACATCTAGCGCGTCACACAAGTAATGTTACCTCAAGGCAGAAGCAGGAGCCTGGAAGAATTCAGCTTTCTTCAGGAATTTTCTTTTGTTCTCTTTTCTTTGGTCAGGAGAAGGCTCTTAAAAAGCTTGGAACAGTCTCATAAATGTTTGTACATTGTAGTAAAGAGAGTATAATAATACCCCCTCTGAAATATTAGGAATTTAAAACAACAGCATACATGACAAGGAAATTTTTCTCTTTATCCCTACCTATTCTAAAGCTCTCGATGTTTTTACTTTTGTGGAAATTGTTCAGTTAATAGCTTCCTAATTCTTTTTTTTTTTTACTTCTATTTATTTATTTATTTATTTGCGGAACTGGGGATTGAACTCAGGCCATTGCACTTGCCAGGGAAGCACTTTTTCCACTGAGCCATCTCCCCGGCCCCTTTTTTCTTTTTTCTTTCTTTCTCTCTTTTTTTTTTTCCTAATTCTTGAGATGACTTGAAATCAAATTCAGTTAAAAGCAGCAACATTTAAGAAAGTTGTATTTCCATGTCAAGAGCATATACAACCATTTTTCTTCATTATTTTTGGCAATTCACTTTCAATCTGTGAAACTTCCGAGAAGAATTTTAAATAAATAGCTTCGAAGGTCAGTATCCCATGAGCAAAATATCAAAAATAATTAAGAGAAATGGTGGCATATGATGTATAACCCTGAAAGAAGAACTATAAGCTGCTTCAATTAGAAGTTGTCCAGCTTTCAGTCATTGTAATGTTGCCACTTTTGCATACTGCATGAAGTTATTTAAAACTTGAAACAGTCTCAGGTGGCAGTGTACCCAAGGAAGAGTCCTAGTCAGAGGTAAGAGGGAGAAGCCGAAGAATGTTCAGTGTAGGCTTTTGTGTTCCTCCCTATGGTAAACATAAAATCATGTAAAATATTTGGGTAAGATGCTTAAGCCATCTGATTGGAGGACAGTTGAGGTGACTGCTTTTTACACACATATATACACATGCACATGCATGTGCACACATGCACACACACACGTGCACACATGCACAGCCTCACAAAACATAGTTCCTTGTCTGGAAATTGATACCTCATTTGTGATTTGTGACATCAAAAAGGAATGAAATTGCTCATACACAGACCCGGGAAGTTGTAGAACTCTGTATATTCTTGGGAAGTTTATTATCAAAAGTGAAAGCCTGTCACTTTTTCCAGCACTGAAGGGAAGCTCAACAGATCTTCTGGTGCCGACAAAATACAGAAAAATGTTTTAGCTCTAAACTCTGACATCATTAGGAGACAAAAATTAGAACTACAATTAGACACCCATTTAAACGACATTGAAAAGTCAAATAATAACAAGTGCTCCTGGAGATGTGCAAAACCAGAATTTTTTTTATGTTGCTGGAAGGAGTGTAAAACAGAACAGCCATTTTCTAAATAAGCAGTTTCTTTCAGAAAAGCTACCATGCCACTCTTAAGTAATTAGCAAGACAGAATGAAGCATTTTTTTCATACAAAAAAGTTCCACCTGAATGTTCTTAGCAACATTTTTGAGGACTACCCAAATCATGAAATAATCCAAGTAACCACCAACTATCAAATGAGTAGATAAAATTGGCTATGAGGTACATATACAATAAGATCCTGCTAGAAGAAAGGAAGAAAAGAATGCTACATGGATAACTTCAAAAATTAGGTGGAAATCCATCTAGAAAAGGCTACACGTTGTATGAATCCATTCAAGGAGATCTACAGAAAAATAAAAACAAAAGATCTCCTGGGGCTGACCTTGGGAGTGGCATTAATAGGCACGAGAGATCTTTTTAAGGTGATGGAAGTATTCTAAAGTTGGATTATGTTTATGGATGCACAGCCTTGTAAATTTGCTAAAATTCTGAATTATAAACTTAACATGTATGTGTTTGCATCTGTTATGTCTTAAATAAGTTAATACATGGTTATAATGAAATGTTATACTTTTGATATACTCAGAGCAACTTTTAATTATGAGCATTGATATTTGAAAGGCTTGAAATAAACGTCAGCCTTCTGTTAGTTGGGGCAACAGTACAGGACATTGCAAGAAATTCAACATGAAAACTACTGTGCCCACCAATCCGAAGGCCACACTGGCGTCCATGTGGCTGGATCTGTGGCCACTGCTAAGACTCTGCTCCATAGGTTGGCAAAAGTGTGGCTAAGGGCCAATGATCCTTAGTGCTTAGTGATTTTTTTTTTTTTTTTTTTTTTTTTTTGGTGGAAGTGGGGATTGAACTCAGATCCTTGCGTTTGCCAGTCAAGCGCTTATCCTACTGAGCCATCTCCCCGGCCCGCTTAGTGATATTAAAGTAGGAAAAAATTAGAAGATTTGCACAGAGACTTGCAATTTTTGCTCTTTTTCCCCATACATGTACTACAACCCACAACTCTTGCAGTTCTAGAAACACATGGATTTTCCAAACATCTTTACATTTCTGTACTCAGTTCACATTGCATCTAAAGTTTCAAAATACAGAAGCCATTACTTTGGCTGACATAATTTATGAAGCCTAAATTTTCAACATTAAACAGTAGGGGTAATTTTGAGTAGAAATTTTCAATAAAAGTGTTTCTCATTTCTGCGTAAGTTGCTAAATGAGCAGGATTCCAAAAGGTTACTTCTTAAATAATTAAGCCATTTCATTTCCATCAGGGCATACCAAACAGTGCAGTTCATCAATAGTAATAGCAGTTGAACTGTGCCAAGAAATAATATAAATAATGTGGCTTATTAGGTTTCACTGTATTACAAAATCTATTATTAAATTACTTCTTGTGGCTGATGGGACTTTTTTAAATATCAAAAGAACAAACATTGGGACTATCTATATATACAGCCTTAAGTACTCAAAAATATGGACCCACTATGTCCCCTTTCTAATGGAGTTAAAAAGTAATATAAGGAAATAAAATATATGAACAAACCTTTATCATTCTTTGTACCACCTAATTTCATAATGAAATTAAAGAATATTTCTTGAGTGGATGAATAGAAAATCAACACACAGCAGCCAAAGACTGTGTCAGTGCTTTTTCCAAGCTTTATTATTTTTCTTTCCAGTGAATTTAAAAGGGCAGAAAACTAACACGATAAATGAGCCTCCTTCCTCCTGTGCTTCTCTCCGCAGTGAACACTACGTGGTTGAGGTGAAGCTTCCAGCCAGGATGTTCGAGTCGCTGCCTTTTCAGGTCAAGGAAGGACAGCTGCTGCGCGTCTACCCAGTACTCTTTAATGTTGGAATCAATGAACAGCAAACTCTTGCTGAGAGGTAAGCTTTGGGAATAAAGATATCATTCAGGTTTCCTTTTTTTGAATTGAGGAAATGCTGAAAAATCTCATGTTTCTGCCCATAGACATATTTAAAAAAACTGTTCCTTTTTAATCATTAACAAAGCATTTGATATATCAAGATAAAATATTTCCATTTAGGGAAATCTGGCACAAATCAAATTTAAGAATGTCTGTGACGTGAGGAAAATATTGATGTCAATACCAAAGTTTTCACATGCGTCGTCTTTACTTTCATTTCCAAACACCTATATTTGTGTTAAATTTTAGTAATTTTATGCTCATGTGTATGAATTAAATACATGGAAAATTAAAATTTAATTTGGTAGACCTAAAACACAGTCTATTTCTCTCGCCTTTGTGTCCTTTGTTACAACAGCTACTGTGGGGTAACGTTGGCATCCTTTTTAAAGTGACTTTCTCAAACAAAAAATAATTGTTGACCTCATTCCTGGAGTCATTATGAAAAAAAAAACCCACGTGATCACAGAATTAAATTTTTGTATCTGATATACCTCACATGTGGAGACTACGAATAATGTAAACAAGAGTTCAAATTTCTGGAACTCAATTCTAAACAACTTTAGAAAATGAATTTATCATTTTGCTGGGGATGTTCACCCACAGACACATTTTGGAGAGCTTCATAGTGTTTGCTAATTAAAATGCTTTCTTGTCTACAATTCACTTTCTACTGGCTCCTTCCTGTTAGGAAGTTTTCAGGTGAAATGCATATTCCTTGTCATGACTTGTTAAGCATATATTACGTCCTTACCAGTGTCTTTTACTAAAATAAAACTCTCTAATTATAATCCTATTGAATTTCAAAGATATTCAAAATGCCTATTTTTATCTATTTTCAATTTTTTAATTCTCCTATTTATCTTTCCCAAAATATATTTTTGGACAACAAGATTTTCATGTTTCTTATCTGTCAGTAAACAAGCAAGTCAATGATAGAATTCCAAACCATGTTGAAGTTATTAGTTCCTTTTTTATAGTATATGTCAATCACAATATAGCTGTATTCACTGCATTAGACAGGGAGATTTCTTTGTTAAGTAAGTACTTCTTAAGTCAGTAGCAAAGATGAAATTCTAGTTCAATCTATCTATCTATCTATGTCTTATATTCACAGCAAATGTAGTGCTCATAGTGACTGATATTCCAGAATAAAAATCATTCAACTTGGGCACAAGAGTAATACCGTACTAAAGTTGTGTCCTCTTTGGCATATTAGACCATTCAAGGGTTATATAAATTAAGGCACATGAGTGTGATCTTGAGAGAAGTGAAACCCTCTTCCATGTCTTTCCGAGGACTAGACAGAATTTTCAAGGACAGATTAGTGTACAGATTGGACTAATTACATCTTTCATGTCACTATGACTGTTTCCGTTCCAGCACTTTATTGAATGTATTTTTCCTTTCCTTCCTGTCTTGTTCGCACATTGAAATGCTTTTTTTTTTTTTTCATACCTGCAGCAGCATAACATACAGCTTTGAAAAGGGGCGAAACGGCCAGCTAGGGAAAGTGCAGAGGGAAGCGGGAAGGCTGGGCTTCAACAGCGCTGACGCCCAGCATGATTGGAGCAACTCGCTTCCTCTCTTTTCTCTGTTCCTCTGTTTTTATGGTTCACAATTTTGCACTTCCCCAGGAAACATCTGCGTGTTAGGCATAGTGCTCTATCTAGCTGTAATTTTGCTGTATATTTACCTGAAAGCAAAACATATATTATGTGACTCTCCTTAAACAGTGTGATGCTAATTCTATTGGTCAGTCTAGGTTGCTCTATCAAAAGACCACGGCCTCAGTAGGTGGCTTAGAAACAATCACACGAAGTATTTCTCACCACTGATGAGGCTGGAAAGTCCTAGAATGCAGTGACAGTGTGGCTGGTTCTGCTGAGGGCTCTTTCCCGGCTCACAGGGGCCTGCCTTGTTCTGTGCGTGTCCTCACGTGACCTTTGTGCACAGGTGGGGGTGGGGTGGCTAAGTAGAGTCACTTCTTACAAGGACATCAATTCCGTGGGATCAGGGCCCACCCTCATAACCTGACTGTTAGCTGTTGGTGCTTCCTGAGAGGCCCCCATCACTAAATGTTGTAGCCCTTGGATTTAGGGGTTCAGCACATAAATTTAAGAGAACACAGATATTTAATACATAATACTATATTACTTCAACAAAGGTGATATTTTTAAAATTCTGATTGATTTTATTGCTTCATAAAGAGTCCATTTTACATCTAGCCAAACTTTTCTTTAGATTTTCCTGGGAGGATCTTCCTATATTTCACAAGTAACTTAGTGTAAATATTAAACACAGGCTAGATTTTGCATTGCTTTTCCAAGCATCCAGACACAAGGAGAAGGAAGGTGACAACAAGCAAAGAAACTGATCCCCATCCTAAAGTAACTACCATGCAGTAAAGAAGACAAGTTGCCAAGTATTGTGTTCCATGTGACATCAGTAATCACACAGAAAGAGTACAAGAAATAAAATATTTCACAGATTGTCAATGAGTTCATGGGGTAGGTCTCAGTGAGGAGATGAGCCTTTGGTTGAAAGAGAAATAGGGATTAATTTGTCCAAGAAGAAAAGTTAAATATTCTAGACAGAGGAGGAACACATGTGAAAATTCTTAGAAGAATTACTGATAAAAGAGAAGCATATTCCCACAAGTGTCTTCGAAAGCCTTTGTAGAGAGTTAAATGTTAAATTAAGGGAATGGGCCCCAGGGAGATGGCTCAGTGGAGTAAGCACTTCCCTGGCAAGCATAAGGGCCTGAGTTCAATTCCCGGTTCAAAAAAAAAAAAAAAAAATTAAGGGAATGATGTCTTCATGAAGAGTGGAAAATCATTCAGTTCGATGAGCTGATGTGATGAAATGTGGGTTGGGATAACTTTATAAAGATTTCATTTATACACAATACAATGGTAGTGCATGGCTATTAAATAATAATTTGTTGAGTGAACGAACACTATGAGCATGCTCTATAGCATAGGCTGAAAGGGAAGGAAGCTAGATGAACAGTATTAGAGTATTTGGCCAGCTTTAGGAGAGTAATCAAATGTGTGATCATAGTAATGGTAAAGAAAAAGGAATGAAGTGAGACCAGAAATTCTAAAATATCGGTAAATTATGAGAAAAAGTCTGAAGTGGTGCTTCAGCTTGGAACCTACATAATGACAAAATTGAGGACAGGCATAAAGTTATCCATACAAACAAGTGGTTTCAGTCTTCAGTTTTCTTCCAGTTGAAGCTTGGGGAACAAATCACAATGAAATTTAAAGTAATATCTGCAAGTACAGACATGGCTGGACATCAGTCCAGGAATTCACTTCTCTAGTGTTCTTTTACAGCAAGACAAATAGGCTTTAAGTTTGAACTAGGAGACTCTTAAAGAGAAGACAGCCCTCAGTGACATGTAGGAAAAAAAATGCTTCCTTAGAGAAGAGACAGAAAGCACTGATATGGAGGTGGAGGCCTGTCTGGGCAGAAGAACAATGTCTGTCGGAGTCAGCCACCTCAGGACCAGGAAGCTGTACTTGGACCTACAGCCACCAAGGATATGCAAGAGCATGCGCAGAGCAGTGTCCGGTGCTGTTCTTCTGGAGCCTTCCCCCAGCTCCATGCTTCAGCAGAGGATATAAGAGACAAGAAAGTGACAGAGAGGGTTTTCTATACATGCAGAGATGGGACCATGCAGAGAAGGTACCGGATAGGGCAGGAAACCTGATTCTACCTAAGCACTAATTATGCTCACAAAGGAGATGATGTTTTACATACAGTGTGTCATCCACATTCACATTTGCTGATGGGAGGCTATTTTGGTATTGTTTGACAAGATTTGTAGAATCTGGGCCAGTGGGATTTGTTTAAAGTCACCATGGTACAATGTTGCTCAAAAACTGAGACTCTTAAGAGACTATGGCCATCCATTCAAGAGACAAAAGTATTACTTTTTAGAGGTTTTTCATGAACTTATAACTGCTTTCCCTTTTTCTGCTTGTTAGGTTTGGTGATGTTTCTCTGCAAGAAAGTATTAATCAGGAAAATTTTGAACTGCTTAAAGAATATTACACAGTATTTATGGAAAAGCTGCCTCCTGATTGTAAGTATATGAGTTCAAAAGATAAGAACAATGTCTTGAATATAAATCTTTAGGAGAGGTTAGGCACTGAAGTCAATGATGGAGGAAGTACAGGATGTGATGTGTAAGTGATGCTGAGATTGTGTGACAGCCCTGAGAGCGGGCTGGTACGCACCTCCTTGGCCTGACCGTGCTCTAGAATGTGACCCCCTGTCCTCATGGACCTTGGAAATTGACAAAAATTAAAGACTTGAAACTTATCATTGGAAATGTCAGGGGAGACTAGTAAAGCATTTGTGTAATTCTTCATCATGTGAAACATGTAAAGCTATACTTAAGTTTCCAATTTGTGAAATACCTCAGATAGATCACACAGATGATGAGGAAAAATCAAGTAGAATACTAGTTATGCAATGTAATATTAAGCCATATAAATGAAAATACCAATTTATTGTATACGCCTCTTATGATCTCTTATGTGAAAACATCAAATCACCCAAAGTTACAAACATGTGTTTTTTTTATATTTGTCGAACATTTTTGCTGCTATTCAGTTTTATTTTCTGGGGTTTTTGTTGTTGTTGTTGTTGTTTTTTGTGGTACCAGGAATTGAACTAAGGACTTTGCCCTTGCTAGGCAGGAGCTTAGGCCACTGAGCTATCTCCACAGCTGTTGTTCAGTTTTGTGTGGTTCTTTCTCCCAAACTAGTAAGGAGATAACATTTAGGTTCTACAAAGTCAGAGAATGAGAAATATTTGGAGTTCATCTATAAATAATATGAATATGCTGAGACATTAAGATATTTGCAATGATTTCAAATTATGTTTTCAGGCAGTAGAAATGTTGTAATATTTTGACTGAAAGCTCTAATCAAAGTCTACCTGCTATCTAACCATGAGTAATTTGCTAGCTGATTTATATATCTGACATGAGATTGGAAATCCTTTAGGGTATCTAAAACATTTCATGACCCAGTGAATGTTGTATCAAAATACAGTGTCATATGTGTGCCCACATGCAGATATATCATTTTTTTACTTGTAGCAATTATATTGTTTTTGTATTTTATGTCATATCAAATATAATGCTTTGCCAAAATGAAATTAAGCAGATGGAGATTCTTCAGCAAACAGCACATTCTGAATTCAAAGATTGTTAATTACCTTAAAAAGTTGTTAATATATGTAAGCACAAGTACCTTATATTGGTAATTACTGAAGTTTATTGCAACATGAATGTTAATGATTTCTTTAAGGTTACTTGTGGTTTGCAAATAAGTCAGAATTTATATCAACAACTTGATTTCTGTTTTTATTGGTTCTTCGGTACTATGCATGAGCTACTGTGAGCAGTGCAAAGCCTCATTTCTTTACAGATATACTAAACTTGCCAGGAATCTACGTTTTCATAAACAATCTGAGCGACTTCTGGTGCACACTGGTGTGAGAAAACAGTAACCTGACATCCTTTTCCAAAACATATTAAATTAGAACAAGTTTTGGTGAGGTCTGTGAAGGGTTTTGGACTGTACTAAAACTAATCCTGTCGTTTAAAATAGAAATATGCCAACGTATTTTCTAAAATATTGCTTGAGATAAAAATGCAAAATATTTGTATATTCAAGTGACTTAAAATTGAAATTAGAACAAATGTTTAAAGTCTTTAGTAACATGATGCCTATTGTATAGTATCTAATAGAGTTGTCCCTTGGTGTTTATGGATTGTCTCAAGGACAGATACCAAAACAGACAAATGTTCAAGCCCCTATAGGAATTGGGACAGTATTGCGTATAACCTAGGCACATCCTGCTATAGTCTTTAATAATATCCAGATTACATAGATATAAATGTACTGCAACCAGAATTCTATGTAATAGTTGTTATGCTACATTTTTGGCATGTAGGAATGCCAGCCTACATATTCCGGACAGATGCAGTAATTTTTTCTGAATATTTTTCATCTGCAGTTCCTTAGATCCATAACCGTGGAGCCCAAGGATATGGACAATTAGATATGTAATCAAATGTCCTTAGACACTTAAAAATATGCAGTTTATTCATTGCACAAATGACTTTTTGCATTGAGCAAGCTGCATTTTATCAATTGGACAATTGTCTTATTATATAAGCTTTTTCCTATGTTGTTTTCTATGTATTTGAGACAAAATCACATACATTTGCTACAGAATAGAGCTGTAGTGTGGCTGTAGTTAGACTTTGTAAGGGAAATGCCAACTCGATCTGTACAATTATACCAGCATGTATGGTATTATGGCTCTTGTAGAAGCCTTGCAAACCAAAGCACGATTTGGTTTGTGTTCTATCTTGCAAAAATCCTTAAGATTTTCTTAGGGGTGTGAATATAGGACAGGCTATTTGCTAAGAAGGAGCTATCATGTAATCCATAATATCTGTTATTTTTCTTTTATAAGTAAAATCAAAAGGAGTGTGTCATTATTAAAGGATACATTAAGATCACTATGTAAATATATTAATCCAATGTGAATTCATTGCATGTTCATTTATAAGCCTTGCTTTCAAACAGTTTATAAATGAGTTAGTTGTATATTCTGTTTTTTGTTTTTTTTTTTTTCTTTTAAGGGTCTACTGGGTGTTGGGGCCTCACTACTAGATCTGTGTAATGGTTCCCCTATTTACAGCCTTCCAAAAGCTGGGATTACAGGCGCATGCCACCACACCCAAACTCAATTGCCATCTCAGTGTGCCCTGGGGCCAGGGCTGGCATGGCAGGCCCAGGGATTGAACCCCTGGCCACTGTACCTGCTTGCAGATGCTTTAATCCACTGAGTTATGTGGCCGGCCCTTTACTCTGTGGTTTTGAGGTTAATATTGCCCAAAGCAAGGCTGGGGAGATAGCTCAGCAGTCTAAGTGCCTGCTTGGTAAGCTTAGGGACCTGGGTTCTATCTCCAGTACTGCATGCTATGCTGGTCCTGGGCCATGCCAGACATTGAAACTAGGTGTGGTGGTGCATGCCTGTAATCCCAGAGCTGGGAGGCTGAGACAGGAGGGTCAATAGAGTTTAAACAGTGTAGCAAGGCACTATAATAAATAATCTGTAAAAATAATGTATTGCCCAAGGCTTTTTTTCAATGCTAAGATGTGTCTCCCACCTTTGCTCTATCCAGACTTCACCCTATGTATTGACTTCTACCAAATAGTGTTTATATTTTTACTTTTTTAATATAGAAGATGTTGGGTTAAAACAATATATTTGCAAAATATTCTCTAATTCCATTGTGCATATAGTAGTTTTCATAGTAGTCTAAATTCAGTGGTACTCAGATATTATTATAATGGAATAATTTCATTTTAGTAACTGTCATCAACTTTACCAGTCACCTATTAGAAATTACAATTGGGGGGAGGAATGTAGGATTAAAAATTGCCCATCAGGCTGGGATACAACTCAGTGGCACAGTGCCTGCTTGGCAAGTGTGAAGTCATGAATTTGATTCCCAGTACCAGAAATAAAAATAAAAAATAAAAATAAAAAGTTACCCATCAACAATATCAAACTCTCTTTCAATATGTTAGTGTTGAAATACACTGATAATTTATAGACTATTTAAAAATGTCAACATTAATGGAATAAATATTACTTGAACTCAGATATTATTATACTCCTATTCTCATCTTCTTCTAGCTGTGGAAAGACTACAGCTGTGGAAGGCTTAGTAGGCTGGGGTGACCTGTGTGTCCCTCCTGGAAGACTGGTGATATCTTGAGTTGAGAGATGTCTATTACAGAGAAGCAAGCAGATGTGGGATCCCCCAGAATGGGCAGCCCCTTTCCTGGAGCACTTTGCCAGACTTTTGTCAGCACCAAGAAGGATGCTTGCAAGACTGAGATCCGACAGGACGGCCCCTGATGCTCCATCTGTGGGCTGCGGATTTCTCTCCTGATTCTTTCTGCACAGCGACGTAGCTCTCAGACAGCTCTCCATGTGGTGGCTCTAAGCCCAGTGCATCTCTGAGAGCTACATGTATCCCCTTGGCCCCCACCTGTGATTTTCACTGGCCCCTTCAGCCAAGCAGGAAAGGGCCCCTGGTGGGGGCTTGTGTCTCTTGCTTCTCCGATCTTCCCAATGCATGTGAAGGTCTCAGCAATCCTTCAAGCCCCTTCTTGCCTCCTTGATGAACTAAAAGTTCCTTTTTGCATTAGGAATAAAATAATTCATAAAGGACTTAGGTAAGTCACTAGCACAAAGGGCTGCATGCTTCGCAGTCAGCACTGCACCCCATATGGAATCCAGGAAAAGCTCCATATGGAGCTTTGGGAAAGGAGGGCAGACAAAGCCGACCCCTCTTTGTGTTGTGGTTTAGACCTACATGTCCTGCTAGGGCCTAGTTAGAGGGGACTGGTCACTGGACAGGGCCCACAAGGAGTGCTGTCATCCCTGATGGCTGCCTTCTCTGCTTCCTCCGCCATTCCCAGGCTTCCTTCCTCCCTGCAGTTCTGCACCACGCTGTTTCTGACCTAGAGCAAATGACCGTGGACTGAGTGTACTGACTCTGGGAGCCAAAAATCAAACTCTTCTTTTAACGTGGGTGTCCAGTGACAAGAAACCTGACTAACCTACTTTTCTTCAAGGGAAAAAAGGATAGACTGTGAATTTACCACATCCATACTCACATTGTCTCTCTGCTAAGAATGCCCATAAATAATTCTCTTTATCAAAAAGGAGAGATTGTCACACATGTTTATTGAAAGTTCCCATTTATTGACTCCTTTGGTTGTACAGCCAGGATGGATTCTGTGGCACTGTAAGCTAAAAAGGAAAACTTGGGCCAGGCTTTTCATAGCTGTTCTAAACATTTCTGCAAAATTCAATATCCCTGTGTTGCATCTACAGTGATAAGGATTGCATGCAAAATACATTTTAGAAGAGCGCTCGCTAGAATGTTACCATATATTTCATTATATAAATGCAGTTTTGGCTGGAAGTCCACATTCAATTTAGCAGACAATGGTAGAGATCATATTATGTATAAAACTCAGT